ATCGTAGCAAGTAAACCAAGCCTGGTATGTGTTTAGTATTTGCATCGTGTTGTTAGGAGGGTGGCTGCTACCTAGGTCAAGGTAGTCTGCAGTGAATACCTACCTGTAAGGGTCTCTAGGGGGCTGAGGTGTACCCAGTGGTGTTAGGTTTATATAATATATATATTATAGTCTCCTTGGTTCTACAGCAAGGGTAAGGTTGAAGGCCTGAAGGCTCTCTCATAAACAGCACTCCTCCTCGCCCCCAGCTTCTTTCTTTGTTCTAGTTGCTTACTATCCCTATACGCAAGCATATGAAATTTCCCTTTGTGCGCAGCTACACTGTATACTGCCGTTACACTTCTTTCTGTTTCAGCTCTGTAACGCTTGTTCTCTGGCCTTTATCTGGCCAGAGATGAGCCGCAATGTAGGCAAAGATTTAAAGCAAGAGTTTCCCAAAAGCAGCTGACCTCCTTCACCGGTCCCTAGGCATCCTGGGCGTTGAGCTCAGGGCCAGGGTGTCGCGGGGAGGAGGCAGCCAGAACTGGGGTTGCAGCACACCCCGCTGCGGCTGGCAGTGCAAGCCAGCCCCACGCGTGCGCGAAAGGAAGCTTCAGGGAAGCTTCCCTTTCTGCATGTAGTGAATACTCCCTACAATCACGGCAGCAATGCCGTGCTCGTTGTGAAGTGCGTGAGGGTTGTATGAATAGTGAAAGTGACTGTCAGTTCTTATTGATATGCTTTGAATATAACATTGGTGAAAGCATTAAGCATTCTCTGTGGAGTGACCATTGGTATGAATATAGGAGAGGGTGGCTTGTGCCTTTGTGCAAAAGCTATTTGCATCAGGCTACGCCGTCTCCTCTCCCAGCCCCAAAGGCCGCAGTGCCTGCTCTACTGGGGTTGAGAAACAACAACAAATTTGCTGAGAGAACTAACTGAGAAAACCTATTTTACTTAACCTTTGTTAGTCTGGTATACTTGTTCAGTATGATAGATATTGCTTGCCAGCTCGCTGTACTCAGCTGTGGGGTTCCAGGGATGCAGCCCA